GTTATTTACCTGAATCAATAAGTTGACACCCTGAGTGTCGATAAAGTTAAAAGTACTGCAGTCAATTATAACAGTATGGATAGGTATATTCATGTCTTCGTCAGAGAATTCTGAACTCTCATCACTRGAAGACTTCTTGGGTTTGTCTACTCCCTGTAAATAATCAAAGTCAAGAGACAAATAAGGCGAACATCTTGACTTATGTTGCCGTTTCCGGTATCATGGCCGTCGAGGGGACATTAAACCAAGAAATAAATATGCAATAAGAAGAGATGCAATATTATATCAAAAGACATATGCATTTGGAGGTTTTGCTAAGCAATAATKTTGTATCTGAAGCGCAAGAGATCAGAGAAAGTGAGAATCGGTACCACATTATATAATAATGTACGAKTTTGCCCCATAGATATCCCATRATTTYTTCATAATCCAAGATGCCGGCTGTATTACCAATAAGGTCCATTTATTAGTAATAACATCGAGTATAGACAACAAAAGGAAAGCAGGAAAGGAAAGCAAACTAAAAAGAAAACTATAAAGTTGGATTTACACGGTACGATACGTTATAATTTTGGTATACGACTAAAGTGTAGACAAAAAAATAGCCTGAAATCGTACCCGCGCGAGAACTCGGCTTCGCCTCGGTCTGGAACAAATTAAGTAGACTTGAAAATTGAATCAAAACTCACACCCTACATACCCCATTCATGAAGTTTTCAATAATTACAGATCCATCAGCTCCTTGATCACTATCAGCAGCTTCGGGATCATTGTCATCTTTTCTACGTTTGTCTCCATTACCGATGTAGCTCACTCTCTGTTGTTGCTTGATTTCATTCTTGTTAATATCGTCAGGGTTAAGATGGATCTTTCTTATCAGCTCATTCCTAAAGAATTCYGCATTGGCATAGAACAAAGCTGACTCGAATCTAAAGATCTTGATTCCTGGGAATTCTTTGGCCTGTGTAGTGAACAAGTGAAGAAGCGAATTAATACGAAAAAGATTAAAGCGGCGTTTATACTCGAGCAATTTTTCCTTGACAAGTTTCTTGTCAAGGAAAACTTGTCCGTGAAAATGGTCAACAAGTTTTCTTGACAATTCCTTGTCAAGGAAAAATTGTCAATTTTACCCCTTGTCAAGGAAAAATTGCTCGTGTAAACGGCGCTTAAAACTAAGAATGAACGAACGACCGAATGAAACCAGCGAATGAAAGAATAAGCGAAAGAGTAAAAWCACGAATGAATGAAAATATGAAAGCATGCATGATCGCATTATTAAATGAACGAAAGATGAAAGGATGAACAAACAAACACACGAACAAAAGAACAAATGAATGAACGAATGAATGAACGAACGAGTGAAAGAACGAAAGGACGAATGGACACTCAAACGAATGAATGAGCGAACGAAAGAAAGACAAAACGTTACGATACGAACAAAGAAATTAAAAAAAAACCCGAAAGAACTAACAAATGCCTAAAAACAACCAAATGAGCAGATGCAAAACAATAACAAGAGAAATTGGTAGATAACCGCTTCCTTACCCCTGGGAACCGACTTAAATCACGGTATATTCCAGTATGAGGCACGTGACCAAGAATCACACATCGCGGTCTGAGATCATCAAATAGAAAAAGATTAGTGTAATGTAGATCTTGGTATGATCGAATTGATAGAGCGGTTTTCCGTTAACCATGAAAGCACAATAAGTCTAATTGTTAAGTAGTAGTTTGTAATAGACCAATACTAATAGTCTAGTCTAGAGTAGAGCTGTATCCGATTGATAGGTATAAACATATTCATCACAAAAACAAGTTTTTTATGTTATTTTTAGTGGTTAGCTATTTGTCTATAGTCAATATGTCTAAAAGTTATATTGACTAGTCTATTACTCATTGCTACTAACTTGTTGGTCTATTTCTTTTCATGGTTGACAGAAAACCACTCTATTTTATTTTTACTTATATGAATATAATCAATATTTTATTTTAATATCATAATCAAGATTAGTGTAGTGCCGATTTTGGCATTATCAAATTGATATTCTATTCTTACTTATATAAATATAATCATTATTTTATTTTAATATAATCAAGATTAGCGTAGTGCGGATTTTGACATTATCAAATTGATATTTTATAAGTCTTGATAAAGAATTATAGTGTTGTATATTTGATTAATAAAGACAAGTATAACAAGTGCTTCTTTCTTTTAAAAACACGCTTTTTGAACAATAATCCGAGCGCGCATAATATAACAAATTTATACATGTAATCTGGGGATGGGTCTAGAGTTTTTTTCTTCACGAATTTCCTGAAACTAAGTTATGTGTAAGTTTGTTTGAACGTCTTGCTCACCTTGAAGAGCGTACAAGTACAATCAATAATGCAATAATGATACCCACAGCCAAACCAGTATCAATACCGAGAATAACTACAGCTAACCAAGCACTAATCCACACGGCCTAAAAGATAACAAAACTTACAATCAATCAACTAACCAACCAATCAATCGCTGAGTTAATAAAGTCAATCAACCAACCAAACCATTAATCACTCAATACGTAAAACAATCAACCAATTATCGATCGATCGATCATCGATCGATGAATGAATGAATGGATGAATGGATGAATCAACCAATCAATCAATCAATCAATCAATCAATCAATCAATCAATCAATCAATCAATCAATCAATCAATCAATCAATCAATCAATCAATCAATCAATCAATACTTAAAACAACCAATCAACCAACCATCCCATCAATCAATCCATCAACCTTCAAATCATTTATTCATTCAATCAATTAATCATCAATTATTAATAAACCAACAAACTAATCAATCAATCAACTTATCAATCAACCAGCCCATCAATCAATCAATCATTCGTTTATTCATCCAATCAATCAAAAAATCAATTGATATAGTTTAGTTAACAAGTTAGGAGATGCTATAAAACAAATGGATGAAAACTCACGGCATCATATTTGCAAATCTTCCAAAGTTCACAAAAACGTGAAAACTGCTTGAATAAACCTTTTAAAGCTACGATGACAACAGCTGCGAGGACGGCCTGAGACACAAAGGAAAATAACGAGTGAAACGAAATATTTACACGTCCTTTTGTTGCTTATTGTTTTTAATGTTTAACGCATCTAACGCTAAACACTAATCTATTCATACTCACTTTTGGCAATGTGTAAAATAAAGGAGCAGCAAAAAGTAGAACCAAGAGGATGATGGCTACAACAGGAAAGTTGCACATCTGAAAATAGTAAAATTCACCCTTCAAATAAGCTAAATAATAAAAGCAAATATATCACTACGGTTCTCAAGTTCAAGTTCAATTTCTTTTGCAACCAAAATACAATTTACATTTTACAAGCACATTTCAGGGTTCGTACAGATTTTTTCATACAGAATTCAAAGACTTTTCATTGACTTTATAAGGATACATTTTCAAGGACACCAATTACAAAGAGAAAGATACAGTTAGTCTGTTAGTAAACTTACTAAACCTGTGTCTTACCAAAAACAACAATAAGAGTATTGCAGTCAACTTTGTTTAAGAACTGTCTCTTTATTTTGACTAGAAGATTTTCCTCAATCTCTATAAATTTCTTGGCTGCCATATTTGACAATAGTACAACAGGTATCGCAAAAAGGATTGAGTTCTTGTCATTTTGCTTCAAAGCTTGCCTTTATTGATCCCTAACATTACTTTATAACAACCAAGACTGATTCAAGGACTAAATTATCATTTTCAAGGACCTTTCCTCCAAATTCAAGGACTTTTCAAGGAAAATTTTCAATCAAGGACTTTTCAAGTACCCAAGCTCAAAAATCAAGGACTTTTCAAGACTGTACGAACCCTGACATTTGCATTTAAATTTTTAGAGAGGAAAAAAAGAAACATCTATGCAAATCTATTATATACTAATTTCCTTTTATCGTACTAGTTTTCCAAGTCTTTAATTCGGCGATTTTCGTGTTGGATAAAAATCGCAAAATCAAAGACCCATGCATCAAAAAAGCTTAACAGCACGAAAGTGTTATAAATTTGAAGCAATAACTGCAGAAAATATATTGCATTATTTGACAAAACCACGAACATCAATTCCCGCGTTTATGTGTCTGCTCCGATTTCACGTAATTACATGGAGTTACTCTGCGAACAGAGGTTCTTTTCTCGGCGGGTGAGAAAAGAACCTCTGTTCGCAGAGTAACATGGAGTTAGCACAAGTTGTTAAATCATGGGTAATCAGACAAGATTACTATAAGATGCGATGAGGGAAAGAGATACGTTTTTCGCAATATTTCTTTTCTGGGCTAAACATCCCAAACCAAACTTTTTCTGTAGATTGATAATCGACTGTTCGATGTTTTGTAGCTTTTTTTGAGACGATCGGGTCATTCTTACTGGGGCACGATTTTTTTCAATGATCAAATTGAACTATTTTCATCAAGTCTTATCGCAAATCTACTGCCTCCGTCCTTCTAATAATCAGTGTTTATATGTGGTTCAATAGCCGACTTTAGATATTTTGGTTCAGTGACCATGCACAAAAGAATTGCAGACGAGGCTCCGGGGAAATAAAGAATATCCATTGATAATTTTAGTTTTTTTAATATTGCAAAGAGTTATTTTGAAGTGCACGCTTCAAAATGACTAATGAAAGAGCGTACAATATCGTTTTATTCTTTATTTCCCCGGAGCCTCGTCTGCAATTCTTTTGTGCATGGTCACTGAACCAAAATATCTAAAGTCGGCTATTGGCTCAAGAACACCACAATGCATGAAATAGAGGTATCTCTATCAACTATAAAAGTTTCGTCCCGCAATGATTTACCTCAGAATGAAAATATAGCGAAAAAAGTATCTCTTTCCCCATCGCCTCTTAGTAATCTTGTCCTGATTACMAATGATTCAACAACTTGTGTAAACTCCTCTATTAGTAAGAATAAGGTAGAAGTAGCGTATGTAGCGGAGATTCGACAGCCACAACAACACGTTTTGGTCATCATATTGATGATAGTTTCCCACCACCTTTAAGTTAAGCTAAACGAACAAGATCCTTAAAAAAAATCCAAAATCGGTACTGGAAATTAAAGGTTGGGCTGCCTGCTGTACAACACTGACAGCTATGACTCACCAAGCTCTTAGCTATTGTTTCTTGCACTGCTGACCTAGATAAYGATGCACTGGTAGGAAAACAGGAGAAGAATGATCCTATTATATTTACTGCACCATAAGCAATAAGTTCCTGTAATACAATCACGGATAATGTTAGATTATCAATGTTGTGTGAGCCTTGTGTTTTTATCACAAAGTATCAAGAATTTTCCTGTATTTATTACATAGAAAAAATCGATTTTTAAAGATTATTGTTATTGCTTTTAATGGATATTTCTGGATACGTTTTTTATAATGCTCTTTAGATTCTAATCAAAACATTTGAAACAAGTATAAAATTCATTTAAAGGAGTATTCCAGGGGCCGGTTGTACGAAGGCCGATAGCGCTATCCACCGGATAAATCCTTCTCCAAAGGATAAAATCCCATACAAAATCTAAGGGAGTGAATAATTTTAACCGCTGGATACTTAATCCACCCCTCGTACTTGTAACCGAACCCAGGAGTTTTAGCGCTTTTCCAAATTTCAAGTGCTTTCCAAGTGGAGAAGTATTCAATCCAGGGCTTTTCAAGTTCATTACCTGGTTTGCATCCACGGTGTAGTTATTTCTTTTAGCAAACATTTTGGCCAATGAGATATTTGAAGCAAAGATAACAATACCAATAACAAAAGCATCGCTTAGTATGTTCGCCATAAKGTCAGTTTTTGGAACTGTAAGTGGTGGAATTCTGTAAATAAAAAAGAAATAAAATGTGWAATAAGTAATGTGTTTTGTATGTTTTAAATTTATGTACTATGGAAAAAAAATATTAAAATAAAAACGTTTTGGATGATTTCAAGATAGGTGTCGAATGGTTTTATGGTGCTGTGTTTTTGGTACGTTTGCATCATCACTTGTGGCAAATAAAAGTACCATCAGCATCAATGTCAATTTGTACAGCAAAGCATGATGGGAGTTGTTGCCCTAAAGCCCGCCGCACATGGTGAGAAAAATTTCACTTGAGCACTTTTCTCACAGCCTCGCGAGGCAAAAAACTTACACCGTGTGCGCGCGAATTTCGGACTTTCTCACGTCTCGCGAGCTGCTAAGTCACTTTTCTAACATTTTTTATAGCTACTAAAAAACTCAGAGCCATTTTTTGTTGTTGTTGTTTTCTTTGTGCAAACGGTACGATTTTTGCAAAAAAAAGCAAGTGATCTGGAGGACTACTTTATCCAACATGTGGGGAGGAGGAGGGGGAAGAGTGGGGAGGACTACAATTTCCAGAGGGATCCTGAAAAGGATAAAATAAAGTGCTCCCTGTSGAGGGGGAGAGTGATGATTATCAAGATTATGAATGCAATTGTGATTATTATTGTGATTATGGGAGGGGGGGTGGGGTCTGGGGGATCTGTTCCCCTCTCACTTTTTGCTTCCGAAAAATAAATAATAAGTGAAATCATTTAAAATAACAAAAAATAGATGATCAGAGCTCAACTATACGAAGGCATATGATGACGGCATCAAGTTGGAAACGTTAAAGACTGCGATACTGTTTGTGACTATGGTACAGTAGTTTTACGCAGTCTTATAGGAATTTACACCTATGAAGCTTATGATTATGTTTATGATAGTGATTCATATGACTGTGATTGTGTGATGGCATTAGTTTTACAGTTACTGGTATTATTACACTTACCCCTTGGGTATAAAKCCAAGTACAGAGACGTCAAATTTCTTATGTGTTTCAAAACCATATGTTATTCCTGTCCCTGCTACTACCTACATATGTATAGAAAATATTTCTGTCACCAATAAAATGTAATATTTAAGAAATATAAAACGGCGCGCATGTCTCTGTCCTCTGATATAAACACAATGGGAGTTCGAAAAACAAGAGAGAAGCAAGCTTAGGAACATGAGCGCAGCGATTGTTTCTCTTGCTTCTCGAGTGTTTTTCAACTCCCACCGTGTTTATATCAGAGGACAGAGACACAAGCGTTTTATATTTCTTTTAAAAAAATTTTCGAGCGAAAAGAAAATTTTGCCGGTAAGCCATGTCTCTGTCCTCTGATATAAACACGGTCGTCAGCCAATCAGAGTGCGCATTATATATCAAAAATTTTATAATCATATTTTTTTCTGACAATCATTCACTTTGCAACTAAAATGTTTTCATAAAATTATAAATCTAGTTTTTTCCCCCTGTCTGGTATCACATCACAGAGTGTTTGTTTTGCCACAATTTTACAAGATTCTAGGAATGGATTTTTTATGAAGTTTAGTAAAAAAGGAGCAAAAAGAATAAAAAATATATATTATTATTATTCCCCAGCTTGATATTGATCCTTATACTAAAAAGAAAACTGWYCCCRGTGATTTTGGCAGACCATATGACTGGAAGGATAGTGCATTGCACAAGAATTATCAAAAATATGAAAACAAAAGATATTTGTATGTTTTGSACAATCTTATTAGTGAATTATTTCATACTAAATGCACTCTARCTACATGTAGAAGATTATATACTGTAGTCAGTATAATTGCTGTTTCTATAGCATTCTCTGGCATTTCAGCATTGGAACAGTTCTCTAAGCAATAGTCTCCTTGCTATTTCTGGCTGAATGACCACACACAAAAGAAGTGCAGATGAGTCTCCATGGAAACGAAAAGAGTATCTCTTGTTTCCYATGAGCYTCTTCTTCGGTTCTTTTGTGCATAACCTTCACCAGAATATTGAATTCGCAGTGGRGTAYATGTAATATTTGTGATTCTCCTGTAATCTRACTGCTATACTCACTGCAATAAGATCAGCTGGAATAGGAAACTTGATTTTTGGCCGAGTGTATTCGTCAATCTTTTTGAGTACCAGTAACACCACTATACAAACAACACCAGTAACGATACAACCAGGAATGGCATCATCAATGTGTGAAAACATGTAGATATAAGTCTGTAACAAGAACACAAAACAACAATATTTTTTTATTTGAATGATAAGATAATCTCTAGTTGAAACTTTAATTTGAGTAATGAACTGTCAAACTAACAAAATGATCTAACATAATTATATTAAATCAAAATGTCAACTTAGAAAATAAATAGTTATAGCACTGAATACAACTAGCAAATAGAGTTGATTATAAGCAATTTAAAACAAAGGAATTATCATTGTTCTGCACCAATTTTTATCATATTATTTATTAATTTAATGATTTTTTGCACTATATAAAAAAAGCTTAAAATGAAAAAGCTTATTTTGACTGCTGTGGAGGAGGTCAGGGTTTCATGGGAGGATTTCAATAACAGTACTAAAAATAACACTTTGATTGYGCAGTCAGCATTTCTCMYTGAAGATAATCACATGAATCATGGAAAAATTAAAGTTTTCCAATTTCTAATTGGTAATGGAGAAATATTTATCATACTCGTACATAGAAACTACCTTTATTGTAGCAAACACTCCAGAGTATCGTGGTACTTTAAGCCCAAGAATATGCTTGATTTGACTCGTAAACACAAGTATAGARGCACCAGTAGTAAAACCACTGACCAGTGGATCAGACAAGTACACGGCTACAAAACCCAGTCTTAATATTCCCATTATAAACTGCAAAAAATCCACATTACATTGTAAAATATAATGGTAATAATGATAAAAATCTCAAACAAAAACAACAAAAGTGAAATAATGACAGTGAAGAAGCATTGGAAAAAAGCATAATTTGCTTAATATTCGCTGAATCGTTTGCTTCAAAGTTCTCTGCAAATTTTTCAAATGAAGCCATGGTTTACAGGCATTGAAGTGAAAGAGATGAACAACTATTAATGTTAAAATTAAAATATGCAATGATAAACAACTAGTGAATAAATTATTATCGAGTTTTTTTTATAATTTTTTTTTTACCTGAATGATTCCAACAAGGAGTGAAAGTGTTAMAGCAACTTCCATCTTCTTCGCTGCAATCTGATCCTCTGGATCAGAAGTACTAGTGTTTGAAACAACTTTGATAACTGAATTACTGAAATCTGTGTTAGGTGTTGGAGTCGTTAGATTTGGTRCTAATGAYGGTAAWACTGATAATGATGTAGCTGGTTCATTAATATCTGGAACCTCTCTTTCTACRACTGTACCAATCATAAGACAAACCACGGCAAATGTTCCTGTATGAAAAAATACAAGTCAGGTCAAATAGTAATATCAGGACTTAAATCCATACCAATTGTGATTCTGAGTGGATATTGAAATATGGTTTATTTACAATAGATCATGTTGATATCAAACAAAAGGTAAAAAAGRGTGGATAATTAAAATTTGTCCTATAATTTGGAGGAAACCTAACTAAAACAATTAGACCACACAGTTTCATGGGCTATTCGTAATAGCCTCATGAACCATCAACTTATGGCCCATTAAACCTCATAATCTAACTGAATATATTTCTTAATGATAATACTGAACTATACCTTTTTTACTGAAGTTACTTTTATAAAGTTGTGAAGCAAGTGTGATAATTATAGTACAAGTGAAAAACGGTAATGGGATTGACTGTAGACTAACACAAATCTAGCATGAACTGAACATTTTCAATGTTATAAAAGAGTTCGAAACTTTTTTTTTCCACGCTAAAAAAATGAATCAATCCGAAGTGCATAAACATTTTACTTTATGTAATGGAACTGAGATTATACAAATATAGCCTTTGGCACATAAAAAGCAACATGTATGTTTACAATGTAATGAATCTAGACCTCCTGCAAGTAGTTTTAAAGATAGATGTTTAATGAGTGATGCAATCGAGGATTGGGTTTCCTGTACATAATATGTCATAAAGATATCTACTTGGAATTATAGCTGCGAGTGCGGTGGACGTGATATGGACATGACCTTATGTTGATATCTTGCCAACATTTTGATAGAACTATAAAGCGGTTAGGTTTTAGCATAAAAAAGCAGTATGCTGGGTATCCTCAGCTTTATTGAATATGCACAAAAGATGCATAAAAAATTAACTCAAATGSATAAAGAAATAATGAATTCATTATCATTAAGATAATCAATAAACACGTTAAAACAATTCATCATGGGACAATTAATTTACAAAGGATAATAAAATGTCAACAAGGTGGTTAATAATACATGTGTTTTTATGTTCGCAGTTTTATCTTTTTGTTTTATTTTTTTTTTAAAGGATTTCTTCACGTGAATAGCAAGTGACAGGCACAGGTACTTGAAGACAATACAACTTTACAAAATACAAATAACATTACTGGTGATTACGATTTTAAATGGATATTTACTAGTAAGTTATAAAGTCATATGAATATGACGTATTAAGTAAAGCTAAAACTTCATAATATTTGCGGTTAATCATTGTACACATTGGTTAAATAATATTCCCGCTTCAATAAGCCAGGATAAGCTTAAGTTTACCTAATGATAAATGCCTCGATGTTCCAAGTAGCACATACACAAGTAACGGCACAAAAGCGAGATAAAGTCCTGTAATTGCTGGTACAGACGCTAACATAGCGTACGCCAAACCTGAAATTTACGAAAATAAATCAAAAATTGATCACGGAGAAGCTGAAATCATGGCATATATGAAAACTATAAACTACCTTGAGGAATATGTAACACAGCTACGGTCAATCCCCCAGCAATGTCTGCAATGATATTATCTTTGACGCTGTATTTCGGTAGCCACGTCAGGATAGGGAACCAASAGAAAAGAATACCTTTGCAAGTCAAATTCGAGATATTTTCGCACAAGTGTTTCCTAAGCTTTTGGCAAGGCGTTCTTCCTTTCTTGGACGATTGCTTGGGAACATAACATTTTTTAAACTCTTGCTCATTGTACACTCTCCTTGAGAGTGTTATTTGTCGTCTTGCTGTTATCCCTTCCATATCTAGAGGGCTTTATCGCGAAACGAATTTGAAAAAGTTAGGACATGTGATTAGACGGATGTGTCGCCGGTTGTGTTATTGAAAGTTGTTGAATCAGAACCAAAATATTGCCGCTTAGTCAAAGCAATCTTGCCCAAACATATTGTCAGTCTTACACATCTAGCATGATCTGTTTCTCYTCATTCAGTCGTCTAGCGRCATTTTAACATCGGAGGATGTCATCGAATAGAGTTTACGTGAACCACATCACATCTTTCGTCGATARAGAACATCCTCCTCTCATTGGACCGACCGCTGACATAATATATATATTTTGTACTTCACCCCTCCCCTGTTAGGATTTGTGGGTTCTTTAACCAGAACGCGCGCGTGTTTAAAAACATGTAAAAAACTGCTGAGTCAAAGTGACTTAGAATTCTTTATTCAAAACAACTGATAAATATGTAGATAGGTCAGATGGATTTTACCCAATACAATATCTGTTTCATCTGGATGCTAATATTATTCTTGGTCGCCGTTGACCCCCCTAACTAATCTAATGTAAAAATCGATAAAAACTCTATCAAAAATATAAATATTTGCAATCCTAAAACATTGTAATAGTATTTGATGATAAAATTTCTTCCTTTCCACTGCCACAATGCTCACTAATATTATTCTTGGTCGCCGTTGACCCCCCTAACTAATCTAATTTGATGTAAAAACTCTATCAAAAATATAAATATTTGAAATCTAAAACATTGTGATAGTATTTGATGATAAAATTTCTTCCTTTTCACTGCTACAATGCTCACTAATGAAAATGCGAAAACAAAGTGAACCCCCCTTTGAAAAATCCTGGCTCCGCCACTGAATCAGTCTATCAGGCTAGGATCAATCAAGAAATCTCGATTTCTTTCTATTGAGATAAGGATCACGTACTGAAAAACTATACTTCGTCAACTACACTAGACTGGTGTGGTTCTGTACATATGCATTGATAGAAAAACTCTCGAATAACGAAGGTTTAAACAGGCAC